GCCAAGTGATTAGTTAGATCTGCGTTGAATTCCTCTGCATTGGAAATTTTCAAATTATTAAATATCCATTACCTGTTTTTCTTTTATTGGTCCCAGAATAAATTTTCATGGCTTTCAATATAATTTCAGGGAATTTTAGATTTTTGAATGTGATGTGTCAACAACTTTTCAAAGACTCCAGGCTTCAAGGAGAAAAAGGCTGTGTTCATTCATATATTTGATACTTATCCTTGTAATTCCTTGAAAGGTGGGCTAAGCAATTTCTGAGAACATATTGCTTGTGGGTATTTTTTTAAATGTGCCGCTTGGTGAATTAAGTGTCAAATCAATCTCTTGCTTTTCCAGTGCAGTGTGGATATTGCATTACTTTCTGCCAGAGGAATCAGGTATCTCATTTCCTTTAGCATGTTTTCTGTTAGAGCAAGAATTTTATGGTTCTTAGATTATAGTTCCTGTATGCAGATTCACCTCTTGGATCATTCATCTCCTCAACACATGTCACCCAGGGGCACATATAGTTGACAATAAAATGACTCCATGCTTGAATCAACTTCTGCTCTTTTATAATCACCACGTTTTGCTTTATATTACTAAAAAGCTTTCCAACCAACTCCTGGAGATTATTTTCAACAAATCGTTCCATTAAAGCTTCTTTAGTTAACATAATTTGCCCATTTTGATTTTTTTATTTGAAAGTGTTGATAAAATGTAGAAGACACTCAAAGTCTTGCTACTACTTTTGGAATTTTACAAAATAAAAATTGAACTTCAATGTGTCAATTCAATCTTCCTCACAAGTAATTATTCTTAATTGAATGTATATCCTTCTTGAAGTGTTCCTAATTTACAACCCCTAATATAGAAATAGATTTACTTAATACAAAGTAGTTATATGGAATTTAACTTTAAATGGCCATCTCTGTGTGTATGCCTATACATACATTATGAAATGAAATCACAAATATCTGTTTGTAAATTTGTTTCTGCTTAAGAAAATTTCTGAGCTTATATACCATTCAACACACATGCATTTGTCTTCTTTTAAAATAGTCGTGTAAAGTTCTGTTGTATGTGCTATATTATGCAATCAGCCCTCTCTTGACATATTCTTATTTCCCTTTTTCCTATCATTCAGTGTTACAATAACTATACATGTCTGTGTGTTTCAAACACTTATGGTATTATACCTCTAGGATATATTCTTAGAAGTAAATGTCTAGATATAAGGGCATATATCCAAAGTGCTACTTGATATTCATATTTTATAAAAGACATTATACTATGCTATTTATGGTTGTTTTTGCAACTTATACAGGGAAGCCTTTCTTTGAAAATCATTACTAATATCTGAACCGGATTAGTTAAATGATACTGCTATATAGGCAATCCCAGTTTATGTAACTTAGTGTCTAAAGTGTGTGTGTGTGTATGTGTGTGTGTGGATGTGTGCATCTGAATATATATTTGTGTTAATCCAAGGACTTTGATTATGTCTACATAAATTCAAATTTGCTCTGCAATAAACAGATAGATCTTTGAGATTAGATAGATGTAGCCTTTGATTGATATTGTAATGGAATGTTTTTCTTATGCAGCCACAAAATTCCTGGACCTGAAAAACTCTATTAACATTAATAATGCTAGGATCTCACAAATCCACTTAGATAACTATTTCATTTTTATAATCATTCTTGTAAATGAGATCAACAATCCATAATATTTGATTATTGTATTCATTGCTTCATAGTGAATAGAAGAGACAACCAGCCTACAAATTTAAATAACAAAGCATTTGCCCTTGATCATTTGCTCTTTGAGACAAAACTCTAGGTAGCTAAGATCACTCAAATACTTAACTTAGTCTTTCACATTACATTGAGTCACATTCTATAGCTTCATGAAGTGTCAAGGAAATTGGTTATATCCTATTTTTAAAAATTGGTAACTCTCAGTATGGGGCTAAAAGAGATTTCCTGGCTATTAATAAGAATGTCTGCCCAGGTTCATATTTTTGTTTGAGTAATTTCTTACCTCAAAAGTGAAAGAAAGCAGACTGTAAATAATATCTTTCAACTCAAATGGCACAATGAGGACAAGAATTATCTTTATATCAAATAGGGAAGGGTGGAGGGGGTGAAGGGAGGGCAAGGGAAGGGAGAAAATAAGAAAATAAGGGAAAATAAGGGAAAGGAAAAATTATGAGAAAAGGAGAAAATGGAAACAAAGTCTTTGTAAATAGGGAAAGGTAGAGGGGGTGAAGGGAGGGCAGAGGAATGGGGAAAAAGTAAGAACCAAGATACATCATGTAAAGGTACTAGATCCCAATGATAAATGTAACTGTATTTTATACCTAAGATGTACCAATAAACTTCATGTAAAACAAGAATTATCTTTATATGTATATAGTAAAGCTATGTCCTATGGTTAAGACAGATTAGAAAGACTGCAGAACTTTATTTATTTATTTATGTATTCATTTACTTATCACAGCACTGTGGACTAAGCCCAGAACCTTTGCACCAGGCCCATCTCTAGTCCTTTTTAAATTTTTTAAAATTTTGAGACAGGTTCTCACTAAGTTGCAGGGGCAGAGCTATAACTTGCAATCACCCTTGTCTCAGCCTCCAAGAGTGTTAGGATAGCATCCCATAGTTTCATTTTTCTCTTTCAGGCTTTTGTCTGTACCTTTAAAAAAAAGTTTTATGAAGATATAATTCACATATTATAAAATTCTAAAACCCTATTCTTCCTTTTTTATTTATTGGTATATGTTTGTGATATATAATAACTACATTCATCTTGGATAATTGATAGGTATACATGCCACATCTTGATCATCTTTTAGCCACTTTCTCATTGCAGGGACAGATTATTTACCTGGCATCCACACGTTAAATCAAGAAAGTTTTATTTTGGCTCATGGTTTTTAGAGGATTCTGTCCTTACTCAGCCAATTCCAAATAGAAATGCACAGTAAAAGTGTATGGCAGAGGACAGCTGTTTGTCCCATGGCAGCCTGGAAGCAGAAAAAGGGACAGGAGGGCAAGAATATACCCTTTCTGGTCATGCCTTCAGTGACCCACATCTAACCAGGTCCTGCCTTTTATAGCAAGTTCTCTATGAGCTCATCAGTGGACTAACTCACTGATGAGTATAGCAACCCCAAGATCCAATCACTTTCCAAACACCAATGACATTTTAGACCTAAGCCATAACACGCTCTTCATGAGCCTCAAAAGGTTCATCTCATTTTGCAAAATTCATTTAGCCCATCTCTAAGAGCCGCCAATATCAACAGTTATAGCATTGCTAAAATTTTAAGTCCAAAGTCTCCTCTGAGACTCAAGGCAAATTCTTAGCTCTGAGACTCTGATTTTTAAAAACAAAATAAAAAACAAAACAATTTAAATACAATAGCACAGGGCAAACTCTCCCACTCCAAAATGGAGTAACAAGAGTATAGAAAAGAATTGAACCAAATATCTCCGTCACTTTCCTCATTGCTGAGACACAATACCTGACGTCAGAAACTGGAGAGGGGTATTTTGGTTCACAGATTTAGACATTTCAATCCATATTTGACAGGTTCAAACACAGAAAATGGCTTGGTAGAAGAGTCTGCTGTGGACAAGTTCCTCATGTCCCTCAGCCAGGAAGCAGAAAAGGGAGGAGCCAGGGAGGGAGCTACACCCTTCCAGGTCCAGGTGCCAGTGATGGGCTTCCTCCAGCTAGGCCTCGCCTCTTGACACCACACCACTGTGAACCCATCGTTGAACCAACTCACCTATGACTACAGTGGCCCCATGGTCCAATCACCTTCCACAAGCCCCACCTCTGAGCACATGAGGTTTTAGAGGACATCTAGATCTAAACCATACCACCAAAGCAACACAGAAATGCAACAGGGCAAACATTAAATCCTGTTGCTCCAGGTCCAGCACCCTGGACAGCTTGTTGTGAGATTTGAGCTCCAAAGGGCTTGGGCAGTCCTGGCCCTGTGGCCTTGATGTTCATACCCTTCGTGGCCTCTCTCTTGAGCTTGCTTCACTCACTGCCCAGGGTTTTCCTCAGCAGATGTTCCATGTTCCTGGCATCTCCACTTCCTGAAGCATTGTACTTTCAGCCTCACACATGGCTCTCTCAGGGGCACACTGCCTGCCCACTCAGCCCTTCCTCTGAAATCTGGGTGGAAGCTTTCTGGATCCCACAATTTTTGCATTCTGGCTGGGGATATGCCTTAGTGGTAGAGCACTTGCCTAGCATGCTTAAAGTCCTGAGTTCCCACTGTTACTACTACTACAATCAATCAATCAATCAATCAATCAATTTTTTTAAGGGAAAAATACAGAAGTCCAGGAGGCCTGGGCTCTAGCTTTGACTTTGATATGTTTGAAGGTGTAACTCAGTGGTAGAATGTTATTTTGAAAAGAATTTCAGCCTTTCCCCTTCTTAGTATCAGTAGAGACTTATGTTGTCAGATAATTCTGCTGCTGTCTTTTAACTTTATAATACTTGCATAATTTTTATGACACACACATATATATAGCCATAAGAATACAGATTGACTATATATGAAAATAAATATAAGTAATTTTCATATACTATGGGTTTTTGAGAAATAAATTAATAAGCCCTTTGTGGGACATACTGATAGAATACTTAGACAGCAGAGAATGCATAAAGAAATAATAGAAGACAAAGGGTAAAAGTAACCTTGGCTAGGAAAGGAACCTATTTCTGTTAAGTGCTATTAGTATTAACTATTACGATTAAATACTAAAGGGCAAGGGTATGTGCTTGCAGGCACAGATTTTTGTGGTCTCTTAATCCCGGTTAAGTTTCATCAGCATTACATCTCCTTTCTGTAGTTCCTCACAAACCTATTTATTGATATGAGATCACTCCGAAGCATTTTGTTTCCAACATAAATGTCTTTTTATGTGTCACCATGAAGCTTTTTGCCAAGTACTACAGTAAAGTGAGGTTTCTTTATTTTTCAGAGTCTGCCACTGAAGAAGATTCCATGCAAAGCCAGTGCGCCCTCAGGCTCCTTTTTTGCCCGAGATAATACAGCGAATTTCTTATCCTGGTGTCGAGATTTAGGGGTGGATGAAACATGTTTATTTGAATCTGAAGGTTTGGGTACGTATTCCCTTCAGAATTTTAGCTGATAAAATCAACTGTTTTTCTTTTGGCATAGTCATCAAAAGTTTTTTCTAAGATGTCATTTCACAGATTAAAATGTATGAGTTTATTGTAAAGGTGCAGAACCACTGTAAACGTGATGTATTGAAGGTAGAAAAATGCATACTCTCTCTTACTACTGCTCACCTTCTGGATAAAAATGAGTAAGGCAGAAATAGCACAACCCTTCCTAAGCTAAAAATGACAGCCTCGTGTAAATTGGTGAATGTTTAGAAACTGTAGGACTAAATTTTACTACAGGTACTAATCTGGGTTAGAAGAGTAGCTATTGATGTTCCGGCCCTGAGAACATTTCGTCCTTTTACCTCTGCAAAGTAAGAAGACCTCTGTATCTCCCGACCATGCTATCTTTATTGAAACTGATGTTTGTTAGTTTATATATTTACCTGTTTTTCTAGAGATTTAGAAATCAGATATGCGAGAAGGATATTGAAATATTTGAAGGTGATACAATAAAAGACAGTTTAGTGCCTAGGCTAAAGATTATTATGTTTTATTTTGTTTTCTGGTTGAATTTTGGCAAATCTATTTCCAGACTACAAAGTGATTTTTTTTTTTTTTGTACATTGGCCTTTTCAATGTTCCAACATTATGTGATACCCTGGGATTGAGTGTTCACACTTCCACTTGACCTTAGCCAAAAGGCCGAGAAGCAATGAGTGTTCACACTTCCTATGGGCTCTAACCACAGTGTTACTCTAACATGGAAAATATTAGAAATGAAGTCCCATTTTAGCGACATGGAGCTAAGAAAGGAAACACTGAGTTCTTTGGCTTGATGATTTAAAAAAGTCAATTACAAAATCACACAGTACCAGATAGTAGCAGTAAGGGAAGCTGAGCATCCTTCAGACAGAATGAGTATACACATTACCTTCCAAACAGTTAAAATATCTGTGGCCCCTGGGCTTTACAAAAGAGTACTTTTCCTGCTAAATTTAGGGATTGGTGGTAACAGCTGTAATTTTACTCATTTTTATATGTTTAAAATTATTTGTTCTGAGAAGAGGTGACATGCTGTGGAAAAGGCTGTGGTTAAATCTGAAAATTCTCTCAGCACAGAAGAGAATAACATGGATTGAGACAGAGAGCACACCCTAGACTGGAAGGAAACCATGAGACCGAGTACCTGCATGCACTCGTCGTGTGCTGTATTCAGCAGTGTGCTCCTTCGATGTAGAAGAGACTTTGCTGACCCTTACCACTTCCTTATGTCAAGGGAAAAGGAGTTGGATAGAAGATGTGTGTGTATGTAGACACTACATCTGTTTTTGTTAGTTGAGTGGTAATTGTACAAATAGATTTTAACGTCTGATTTGTAGGAAAATGTGTGAGTGGGGGATTATACGAGGGAGTGTAAAGTAATTATTTGCAACTAAAACCCTTGAGAGATCTAGTAAACACACACACACACACATTTCTGTGTAAGAAAAGCTTACTCACAAAGCAGATATTCTGTACATGTCACTCTGGATGTGTGGAAAATTTACGTCATGGCTTAAAATTCTGGAGTGCCTCTGTATTGCCAAAAAACTGTCACAGGAGGGAAACTTCATTATTATTAATACGTTATTAGTTGGTTCGTTGTACAACTTTTCATTAAGGAACCATTTTTCATAAACTGTTATAAGCCAACTGGGTTACAGAGAGCTCAATTTTCTCACAATCCATGAGTTATTATGTTACTTGAACTAATGCAACTTTCAGAGAGAGTCCAAGAAGAGTCTGTCTAGTGCTAAATCTTCTCTGCTAGAAATACCACTGTGGCTCAAGGCTCTAGTGTATATTTATGCACATTATTTCCCTAATGACTTAAAAACTCCAATTCAAGGAATAAGTAATACATAAGGAATAAGTATCTTAAAACTATAAAGCCTAAAGCAAATTCTATGATGATATACGAATGTATACCAATGTATTTGTAATATATACAATTATGTCAAGAATTTTGAGATGCCTTACTTAATTCCTTATTATGCTATACTTGATCTTGGCCCAAAGGCTGAGAAGCAATTAATTCACTATTATGAAAAACAAACTGCCACTATAAAAAAGTCCATAACTTATACATAAAACTACCCAGTGTTTTGCATTTTAAAATGATTTGATTTTGATTATCTTCTAAACCAAGCTTTTAATATGCAGTTAAAATCCATTTAAATATCTAAGGAAGCTTATTAAAACCAAATCTTCCAGGTTTTTAAAATTTTAAATCATCTTTTATCTTCACAGTACCAAACTAAATCATATAGTTAGGATTCTTTAGTTTGCTGCCAAAGAGATTATAAGATAAATTTGAAATTTCTGCTACTTAATATAGGACATGAGGGGATGTGTAATAGGCCTTACAGAGAGAGAAGGAAGGCGAATATTATGGCATCGGCTTGAGGATTAGTCAGAGAAAGGACACAGCTGTGCTCATACATGTGAATGAGAACCAAGAGAAAAGACGATGTGAGATTCCATTTCCCCAAGTGGGACCCTTTTCCCTTGGGTTGCTTTTTTTCATTCACTGTGGGTGAGGGTGTCATTGAGCTGCGGCTGCCGGCCTTGTACTCTGTCGTCACAGAATTGCCTTTCCTGCGACAGTGACACTGTGTACTCGGCTTGAGGTCTTTTCACACTTCACTTTTGAAAGCGAATTTAGGGCAAGGGTTTTTTTCTTCTCTTTCTTCCCCTACCTCAAGATTTCATTTCAGTGGCACACGAGATGAAGAGCATCCTTTGTGTCCTACTGTTTTGAGCAGCAAATAAAATGAAAAGAAGCCCTGATGAGAAGGGGAAAATGTGTTTGACTGAATGATAAAGTAGATCACTGTACTCAGTGCACATGAAGAGCCTTGTTTTGCTGTTCAAAGTCTTTGTGCGCATAAAGCATCCCTATCTTTGTAACAACTGATATGCTACCCTTTGGAGCGGTACTTTTTTTGGACAATTATTTGTCAGAGGATCTTGACTCACAACTTATTCAATCTGTTTTCTTTCCAAAACTGCTAATGACAGGAAACCTCCCTGAGAGGAACAAGGTGCAGTGGGGGTGAACTGGGGAGTGTGGTCAGCCAGTGCGACCCTCTGTATCTCCCAAGCCTCTTGACTTTTTGACTCTTGACAGATAACCTGCCATGCCCCTTACAGTTACACGCAGGTCTTTATCTGAAATTAATCTTCTATGACATTTTTGAGAGCTATTTCTTCCTCTTGAAATGTCAATTCTTAGATCCCAAGTTATCCTGAATAAATGAGCCAATCAAAACATTACCAAAGGTCGTCATGAAGAGCCTAGTTATGGAGAAAGACAAAAGTCCAACTAACATATCAAGATGTTGGGCACCTTCACCACATGGCAGTATAAATAAAAACTGTGAAAAGTTAGCCAAATAATAAAATTGTATTTTTAGTTTTGGCAAATATATAAGAAAACAGTATCTTCTAGACACTGCCAAAGAAAATTGGGAATTGGGAGTCTTACTTTAAAGGGTTATTTGACATTATATATTAAAGACCAGAGAAATGCTCATATGATTTAAGTTGTTCTATTTCTAAAGCTCATCTGAAGGAGATTACAAGAGATAGGTTTCAGAAAGTCCATTGAAACTAAAAAAACAAACACAATGCCTGTTACTGGATGTTAGCTTTAAAAAAACTTATAGCAATCCAAAGATACCAACCAGAAAGAGTATTCTTGAAATTACTGAAGAATGTGAGAAAATATGATGTACTAGGAACATGAGATCATACATTTATATCTAGTATATGAACATTAAAATCCATATTCAGATTTTGAAAGAAAAATAATGATTCTGTTATAAGTGGTGTTTTCTTCATTTATCTATTAGAAAACTTTAGAAAATGAACAGTTATGGCATGTAATCTGAAACATGAACAATTAATTATATTTATATTAAGATGCTATTGGATCAATTTATATAGAGAATTATTTTTTGACATGTTTATTGACAATATATTTATTGAGAGCACATTATAAAGGCATTTTCACACTGTTTAGGCTATACTCATATACTGCTATAGTAGCAGATGTAGATTTTGCATTATCTGTAGAGCATAATCTAATTTTATGGAGTATGATACATGTGTGGATCACCCTGACCCCTACTGTTCAAACCATGCTGACACAGAAGTCAATGCCTTTCTTTTGCATCACTCTTAATAAAGATTAATATTTGGTTTCATTAGATGCCTATAAAATATTTGGGATTGTGCTTTAGGTTAAAATAATGATGACTCATTTTCTTGAATATAAAAGTATGCGCTTTATCAGTCTAAAAACAAAATCTTCCAATAATTATTCTAAAACATGAACTTCTAGTTGTGACGCAAAAAAAATAAAATGTTTAGAAGGTGTAAAAACATTTCTATTTTTAGTTTCAAATACATGTAAAAGTTATTAGACTATATTAATTTGTAATCTCCCTCACAGTAAATTTAATATTTTAAAATATTAATTTATATATAACCTTTTCTAAGGCACATTTTATATGGCTCATTTTTACCATTTAAATTAAGATCAGAAATCTATCATTTATTCTCAGGTTAAAAACACATTTAAATTGTGCAATGTTATTTTTTCTAACATTTTTAAACTATAGAACATTTTCTTTAATTAGTGATATTCTTGTGAGATCTATGCAAAACTTACATTTGCACACCAATTTACAAATTGTCCAGTTAATTTTTTCCAGACAATTCCTTACTTTTCCTCATTTGTACACATTCTGACATTCTGGGGAATGAAATTAAAAGGACTGGGATGGGAATACTATTTTGTTTGCTATAATTATGTCAATGTCATTATGTTATTGGATGATTATAGGATTTGGAAGCCTGTGACTATTCTTCATCTATTTCTCTGAGAAAGACTCTCCTCAGCAAGAAAAGGGTTTGCTATCTGCTGTGTAGCATGCAAATGTGTGTGATTT